GAGGAGGAGGAGGAGGAGGACGCGGAAGAAGGAGGAGTGAGAGGGAGGGAGGGAGGGAGGAGGTAGGTAGGTAGGTAGGTAGGTAGGTAGGTAGGTAGGTAGGTAGGTAGGTAGGTAGGTAGGTAGGTAGGTGGGGACTGCATGTTGGGCCCGCGGGCCCAGGTCCTTTGGCAGAGGGTCGCAGGGCCAATTGGGGCGAGTGCGTCGACTCCGCGACGTCGGCTCAGGGGAAGGGCAGGCTCGCTCGTGCGCGGAGAGGAGGGAGGGGGAGGGCAGGGGGGGCGGCCTGTGGCTGCCCAGCCCGCCGTTGTTTACCTCCGAACCCCACCCTGCGCAGAGGAAACCGCACCTTCGCCGGACCCTTGCACGAGATGCGAACGCAAAGGGAGAAGAGGGGAAGGTTTGGGGAGATGCTTCTAACGGGACGTCTGCCGCAGGGACCCGCGCCCGTACTCCCCGCCGCCTCATGTCGACGCAGTGCGCAATTGCAGGACTAGGAGTGCGGATGGACTAGGTGTCACCCCAGGAGGCAAGGAACATTGTTGCTTCCCGTGGCCCTGCCCAGAAGGCTGCCTCCTCCTGGTCGAGGAAAACCGCCGGCGCAGCCGCGTCCGCGAAGCCTTCACATCGCACGGCCGCGCCGACAATGGGGGCTGGTCATCGCGCAGGCGGAGAGCACAGGCAGGGTGGGGCTGTGGGTGATACCGTCGCAGCAGATGCAGTTCTAGCGACGAGCCCACAAGCGAGCGCCCCAAACGTGGGTGAGATGCACCAGCCAGAGGCACATGCGAGCGAGCGGTCTCTGGCCTTGGAGTGCTTACCAGCTTTGACCCAGAGGGAAGGCGAGGGACAGATCGCGCCGGACTCCCCCGCCCAGGGAGAGGTACGGGACCGCTCGCGTTGACACGTGCGCCCGTGCGCCAGGTGGGCGAGTGCGAAGACTGCACTGTGGAGATCGGATTCCGGCAGCCTCCGATGGCCCGCCCTCCTCCTGGCGACGCCCAGGACCTGCACGCCCCGGGCCCGAGAGCGTGCAGCCCAGGTCCGCGAATGCTGGGGCCGCTTACTTCGCCGACGGGCAGTCCAGGAAAGTCCGCGCCCATGCTGCGTGGCGTTCGTCTAATTTGAAGGGGGCCCCGTCCGCGACGTCGTAGAGCCACCGGCCGACACGGAGGGATGAACCGACGTGGGGCTCAAAGATCCCAGTTGCCGCGGCGAGGGGAAGGAAACCGCTGGAGACCTGTTTCGCCGGGGTGGCGCAGTGCGCGGCTGCCGCCCCCGGCTGGGAGCTCAGCAGGCGCTCGGTATTCCCATCCCGTTGCAGACCGAGCCATTTGTGC